GGACATAAATTTTTTATTTCCTACAATATTACAAATATGAAATTAAAAAGTTACAGTATTTGCTCTATTTGAAGTGCATCTCCAATAGAAAATTATTGTTGTATGATGAATCATTAAAATATGACTTGTTTTGACCATAGAACACCTCTGTAATTGACGAGTGCATTCTACTAATCAAGCAAATACAATATATGGGGTTTATTTTTTAAAAGATGAACTTATAGACATCACATGAAAAACATGGTATTCTAGAATTGTAACCGTTGACATGTGTTTATTGTAGGAGTAATCATACCCCAGGGTGAGAAGGTTATGAATAAACATCCTCAGAAAGATGAATGCTTTAACTTAACCTTCAATGAATATATTGTATACAATGAAGACCAAGTGTGTCTCCGATACCTTGTCATGTTTGACAGTTAAGGTAAGATGAACATTTCAAGATTGTATTGAGTTTTAAAATACTGGCTTCTGTATTTATATGTGTACTTGTTTGTGTGCTCTGTGTATGAAAACCTTCTGTATTATTTTTCATAACATAATACCGAAGGCAAATATTTCTTTTTTTATAAAACTTACAATTACAATATTGGTGTTCCCAATACCTCCCTAAATTGTTTTAATTAATTAAATTAAATCATTATAGAAATTTAGGTCCCACTGGAATGCATAGCGCTTTCAGGAGTCCAATAGTATAAGTAAGATTGCTTGTAAAGTGCATAATAAATTTCTCTGTTTTTTCACACCAATGGAATGACACATGTATAGTTTGTGTGTCCGATTTACAATTTTCTTTATTCTATAAACTAAAATTTATCAGCATTGAGAAACAAATGTGTCAAATATGATCATTTTCAAGTCTGTTCAATCAGTTATTATATATCTGACTATTGAAGCCACAATAATAATTCATTTACCAACTCTTAAACTTGTTGAATTTATTTTTCAGTTAATAGACTGAGGCTGATGGTAAACTAAGGGGACAGAGAAGTGCATCAACTATGACCAAAAGTCGTATTGGTTTACAAGTTCGTGATCCCAAAACAGCCACAGTGGATTATTTTTTTTTGTATTGTACCGTGATATTGAATTCTTACATTTGTAAATGTAATTTTTTTTACATGAGCAAACTCTGTTCATGTTTGAATTTTTTTAAATGCAGATTGTTACCTTGAGGTTTGAATGCTGGGAAGGTTATAGATGATCTTTGAGTCGATACCTGAATTTAACAATGGGAGCGAAAAATTTACTAAAATCTATCAATAAATATTTTTAACCATATATAATACTTTTCTTCTTTGGATTATCTTGGCTTCAAAAATTGTCAAGTCAGTATACACCAATCACACTGGTTGTTATAAAATAGTCTGACTAATATGTGAGGAATGTAAGACAACTGCTTATTGGTTAACCAACACTCTTACAAGAATGTAAGGTAACTTATTGGTTAATATGTATTCTTTTAAAGTCTATTGGCTCTGTAGTTAATTTTACAAAGTTGTAACGTTTACTTGTCAGTAGTACATTTATGTGAAAGATGAATGTGATATCAGTTGTCTTAGGTACTGCTACTAGGCAATACTTATTTATAAAATGCCTATGTTTATATAGTATTTTCATATCTAGTTTGCAACACAGTTCTCATTCATGCAAAGTGTTTAGCTCATAAAAACATCCTTGTATGTCTGGAGTAAATAATTTGTGTTACATTTTGTATGTTTAAAGCTGTCATAATGGAACAGTTTTTCTCTCTAAATTCTTGGAAATAGTAACATTCCTCTAAAATATTTGTTGTGCTCACATACTGCCTTTGCTAGTTTTTTTTTCCAATTTGTATCGTCTTGAGCATATATAAAAGAATAAGTGGGTAAAAAAACTTAACAGCATGTATGAAAAATGACTTTTTTCACATTTTTTTGTTTCATTTCATTTGAATGACGTCATTTTTTAAAAATCACTTATAAAAGGACAATTTTTTTGATAATTGGCATTAGATTTATTTATGAGTTTTAGCAAAATATCATACCTATATTTTTTAATGTCGCCAGGTCTAGTCTTTTTAAATGTTTAAAATAGGCATTCTATTACTGTGCTTAGAGACTCTGTGTCTTCATATGTTCCAAGAGATTTAGGATTACTGTGTTTGCTCTATCAGATGTGCTTCTCCAATTGAAAACCAACAGTTGCATTTGTTGTGTACTGGCATATTATGACTTTAATATGACTATAGACTCATCTCTGTCATTTACATAACTAATAGAACAAATACAGTAATGAAATAGACAGTTATTACTATAAAACTTAATCACAAGTATTTTTGGTGACAACTGTGAAATGTAAAAAGTAGTTAAGCTCCCATGATTTCTTTTGTACTTTTATTTGTATACAGGCTTCCACCCCTGTATGTCTGTAAATGGTATAACCCATTCCATAGAAACTAGTAGGCCTATACCAAATTGTGGTGGTGAAGTGTGAGAATTGTTAAGGTATTTTTAAACTAAGTCAGAATTGTTTAATTTTTTTTAGATGTTTATAAACTTCAAATTGTGGTGCCACTTCGCCGTATTTTTAGGTTCTATTTGTACGTGTTTAAAATAATGCACTATATGTGGCACACTATGTGCATTGTCAGATGGTATGACTCATCAAATATTGGCCAATCACAGTGCTGACTGTGGTCACCTGACATTTTGCTAGTTACTCATTGGGTGGTGTGAATAGAATCTCATTAAGGTCACAGATCAGTAATTGACCAATTAAAATTCAGCATGTGTTCAACTGACAATGGCATACACTTATTTAAACACTATTCAATGGTAAATCATATAAAACACTTCTTTTTAGACTTCTTTTTTTAGTATTTTATTTAAACAGATGAGTATTGTACGTGGATGTTTAGGTGTCATTTGGGTATTGCATTGTGATTTCTAATTCCTACAGAGATGTAATAAAATGATATGATATTTTGAATCCTGTATGTTTCAGTGTCTTTGTTCCAAAAACAGTTTAGGTTGCTGAAAATATTTACTACCAGTACAATGTATATTTATTTTAGTATTAATTGGAGATTGGAAGGGATGGGGTGAGACAGGTAATACCCACTGGTTGTAAGTTTATTTTATTCAGATTTGTTGATATGCATGTGATATGGAGTCCTAATTGAGATAAAGTGTTGAGGTTGCAGAAGACTCTGTAGATGGGGTTCTTTATCTAAATTTCACAGTTTGAGAGTTGTAATTTTAAAAAACAGTGTGTTCTGCAAAAGCCTGTTCAAATTTTGATCTGGCACTATGCCCCTTTTTCTGTTTTGGAATTTAGAGAATTTGGTTCTATTGTTATCTGAGATTCTAATACGTCTATAACCGTGTATTGTTACTACTGCCTTTTGCTGGAAGATTTACCCAATATCAAAACTGTCACATGATCTATTATAAAAGAGACTTTATATAATTTCAAATACTAGAATCCTTGGGCATTTAGTGTATATAAAAGCCTGCAATGAAACAATCTAATTTGATTGTTAATGATGAATACAACAAATAAATTATGCACAAAATTGTATCACAATTAAGCAGGAAAATATTAAGGTCATTAAAGGTCATTGGCAAATTGAAATTATTCTTTAATACAGATTATTATTATACATCTGTCACCGTAACGCCATAAGTTACAGTGTTCCGTAATTTTGCGTTATTTTACAGGGTATTTTCATCCTACCATATTAGGAAATGCAAATTCCAGATATGGAATTATTACGTATGTAAGCGTCCTCTAATAATAAAAACAAACATGGCTGCCTCACCAGGGTTTGACCGGACTCCACACAAAGAAATTTGCTGATTCTCAACATTTTGGATTTCAGCATTCCCATGATGTATCCTTGGAAGGAAAAGATGTATAATAATAAGATTATTACGAGGATACCTCAAAGTATGCTTTCAGACAATACGCTGTCGCATGAGCCTCTGCTATGTGTCACTTGATACTTCTGCTATATATCGTGCATACTTTGAGGTTTCTTCATAATATTGATATGTTGGACACTTAGTAACTGTTGCTCTTGTTTCATAAAACTAGCAGAACCTATTTTCATTTAGCAGAGACCAAATACTACGGTAGTACCAGTAATGTATTTTTGCAAATAGCGCCACCTAGAGTCAAAGTTGGAAATTATCATAATACCGGTAAGCTAAAGACAGACTTACAAAAGCAGTGCTGGTTCTGATTTTTTTTTATTATTCAAATATATTTGGCAATAGCATTCCACCACACTTGAATAATGTGAACACTTGTTTTTAATTCAGCTTCCACAAACAGTATCAACACACATCGTTGATCCAGAAGGCTTTATTAAAAATGTCAGACTGAAATTAGACTTTGCATACAAGTTTAAAAAATAACCAAATATAATTCTGTGATGTCAAATAAGTTGAATAAAATTTAGTCCATTACCCAACATCATATGACTTACAAGACATACTTCAAGTAGCAGGCCTGATAATACATTGTATCTGCTGATTGATAGCACTGCAAAAGGTGTTTGAATTAGAATATGCATATCAGTTTTGTATTCTTTCTTCTATTACAAAGACCAGTTATGAAAATCAAACTGCAGATTTTATTTTATAATCAATAGGACATGTCGTTTTCAAAACTAACTGTCGTATACAAAATCAGTCAGCCTCTGGCCAACGTTAATTGCCAAAATACAGTACACATAGACAATATTGCAACGATATCAAAGTACAGATTATACCGTACTTCTGGAAAGTACTATGCACACAGTAACTCAGCATGTAAATTAGTCACTTAAGTCAGTTTTTAGCTATGCTGTTGACTTTGTCGAGCGGAGCTTATCATATGAGTGATTGTCCGTCGTCGTCCTGTGTCCGTCGTCCGAGTCAATGTTTTACTTTTTCGACTTCTTCTTGAAAACTACAAGCCTGAATGCTTTGATACTTGGTGTATATGTACCTTGGGTAGAACTCTCTCAGATTTGTTCATTTCATGATCATATCTTCAATTCTCTAATTTTTGTGAATATTTTTGTTGTTTTTGGTAAAAAGTGATATTTTTGACTTCTCGTTAAAAACCGCAAGTCCTTGTAATGATATCTTTAATTCTCTAATTTTGGTGAATATTTTTGTCATTTTTGGTAAAAAGTGATATTTTCGACTTCTTGTTAAAAACCGCAGGTCCAATTGCTTTGATATTACATACTACATAGGTACTACATGTGGACCACTCTCAGATTTGTTCATTTCATGATGATTTCTTCAATTTTCTAATTTTTGTCATTTTTGGTAAAAAGTGATATTTTCTTGTTAAAAACCACAATCATTAATGGTGAAAAATGATATTTTTGAACTTTTGTTGAAAACAAGTCCCATTGCATTGATACTATGCATATTTTTCATTTTCTAATGATATCTTCTGTTCTTTAATTGAAATGTGCATTGCTAACAGCGAAGCTATCTCAGCCGAGAGGCTGCTTGTTTTTTAGAAAACTTGAATAATATGCATACTTGGGACCAGTCAGATAATATCAAGAATGTTGTAAGTTTCTTTCATTCAGTCGAAATAGGCTTAGGTTTTGACATAGATTATCTCAATCAAGACATTATTGAGACCATTTATTAGTCAGACCTGTTCAGACCACTTATATCTTGGGCATCATATTAAAACATACATCTTGAGCTACATACATCTATTTGTTTCACGATTCATAATCAAGCATTTTCTTATTCATGTGTGGATAAATTTTGTACATATGTTAAACATAAGACCTTTATGCGCACCATTGTTTTGTTGTTGAATACTGCTTCAGAGCCCTATCTCTGACATGCCATTACTGTTTATGTTATATATTTCATTAGCTTGATACCTCAAAGAGAACTATACAATTACTTATTCTTTGTCAACTTTATTCATATGCTATGAAAAGTAATTTACAACAACAAAATTATATTAAGTATTTACATGTTTTCATCTGAAATTATTACAATGATTGTCTAAGGAATTCAGACATAATGAAATCTACCTGTAATATATGTATTATTTCATCTATAAAAATGAGAAATTATTCAGCTTTATATACTATGACAAATGTGATGCTACAATAACAGCCAAGGCTTCAAGTGAAAGATACTATTATTTATTTACAGTGCTACTGCTTGCATGTGAGAACAATCTTCTTTAAACTTTTTACAAAATATTTTGTGGAATTAAAAAAACAAAAATTGTCATTTACACATAAATAGGCATGATAAATACAGCTCAAAAATAAACATGCTGCTCCGAAGAATGATGCATACAAAAACTGTAAGTCATCAAAGACGTTGGAAAACATAAAATGTTGGAAATATATACACATATGGTTACACTATCAACTAGTCCCTAGAAGGAAAAGACGATGAATATGGGAGAAGTGTCCAGAACATGATGTCATCTGCTGATGGAGAAATATTTATTTATTCCTTGCTGTTAATTCAACAGCTGTATGAAGTTTGTGACAGCAGTCTTAGAAATATGTATACAAATGTTTGTTATATACCAGTAGTACACAAATCACATATTTTGATATGATTTAATTAACTTACAATATTTATAATCAAATTTGGTTAACATTCAACTCCAAATTTATCAAAATTTCTGAGAATAATTCCTAGTTGTAAATGGATTTTTCCCATGCCAACAGTGTGTAGGAGATCCCTATCAGAACTAGTGTACACTAAATCAGGATTCCGAAGCTGAGGTCCGCCTCCTACGAAGTTATGTGATATTTGTTCTCTAAACTGTCCTGTTGGTCTCCATGTAACACACTCCACATCGTGTGTACCAGGTGCTGTAGGGACGTAGCAAAACCCATAACCATATAGTTCATTTCGACCGTAACTGTCTTGGTGGTAAACTTGAAAATGAAACTTGGGCCAACCTGTTGAAGGAAGAATTGTATGATTCGGTAACTGAACTGAATGTCTTGCATACCCCCATAGAATTTATTTTGTTTCATAAGCACAATAGAATAACTCTTTATCAGAATATACTCTCCTGTCTTTTCATGTGTCATTGCATCAGTATTTCATCATAATAACAGTTACCTTGTAAACCTTTGGTAGCAAAGTGTATATCAATTGGATGACTCCAAGCACAAAACTCTTCATCAACTGGAATGTCCACCTGTGATTGACCTTCTTTACATCCTGCTAGAAGTTTCCATGCACCACCTGAAATAGACCAAACAAACATGGATACACTTGACCAAATACCAGTAGAAAGTTTCTCCAAATTAAACTTTATAGAAATTAACAGTTGTATAATTGTCATATGCTATTATGCAGATTATCTTATGAAATTGATAAATTTATCAGATTTTGTACTAAAAAAAAAAAAATGGTACAAAATCTACCAGTTCCCAATAATGGACTTTTAAGGAAGCTCTGTTTTAGCCTGCCAAAACACCTACCTGCATGTATGCCCCATTTACAAAATAAACTGTTTTCTGGAAAACAACTTGCTCCTACTATCTCTCCTATTATATGTACTTCAGCCATAACTGAAATGAAGAAATCAAATGTAATCTTGAGAGCATATAGGGGCCTGATGTAAGAAATGATGAAGTAATAATAATTCACAATTAGTGAGGTTACATAATTATGACACATTGCAACATATATAGCAAGATTCTATTCCATGAAAGTGTACTACTGTAAAATACACACTGGCAATTTGACACCCCACTCTTTTGTTTTATGTCTATTGTGGAACGACTTTCTTAAGCCCTGCACCCTATCGATATGCTAAATCTTAACCCTACCACTCCATCCCCCCAATGTAATTGTATATACAATTAAAATAAGGGAGGGGCAAAGTTAGGATTCGAGTGAGGGATGGGGGGCCATAAGGAAGACTTTCCAGAATTTTTATGTCACCAATATATATCCATGCTTTTAAGCTGCCAAATTAAAATTCATAATAGACACAGTACCCAGAGTCAAGACAAGCATGTTTACATGTATAAACCCAACGTTAACATTCATTAAAATCCAAATGAGATATTATGGATTGGGTTGCTCTCTATTCTGCAAATACTGTGGCTCAAGCTTATACAATGTGTAACTGTCGTTCATAAATAACATTATAAGTGTATGAAACTTGTGTCATAAGTAATGAAGATGCTAAAATGAATTTATGCTATTTGCGAAACAATCACAAAATGGCAAGACAAACTACAAATTTCAACAAATACTA